AGGCACACAGTGTTGGAGGCCTTTGAGACTCACTATGAGGGGTTTTTTTTCTCTGGGTGCATGCATATATATATACATTTGAAGCCATCGTTTCTTGCAGTGGCTTATTTTTTGGGGGGGGGGATGTCTGTTTTGGCTTTGAAGAAAACATAAACTTTTAAAGTCTGGAAACCACATATACTGTCTGTCTGCTTTTACACAGAGAGAGAGAGAGATATTAATTCTTTTTCGTATACATGCTAATGTTGAATCCAGATTGCAAAACATTTCCATGACACTTAAGAAGCAGGTCATGACTGAAAGTTAGTGCCACTCCAGGCCCAGGATCTTAAGGTTTTGCAACAGGCTGCTGATTTGTTTGTTTGAGTAAAGAGAAGCACATCGACACAATAATGGTCATTTAGTGCTGGAAAAAGTTAGACAGACAGACAGACAGAAACAACAGAGGGAAAGTGAAGAAGTAGGACCTATCAGTGGCACCTTCCAACCGCAACAAGCTTTTGAGTTTATTTAGTTTTGAGAAGCACATTTTAATGTGATATAGTTGTCCTTGTGGTGTGCAGTAGTGGTTTCTTTCCCCCACATTACAGCTATTTATATACTCATTTCATGGGGATCACAGTATTAGTATTATATTGGTATTAATGTGATTTATTTTTTACATGCAAGAAGTTTTTTGTTTTAATTACTCTGCTATTTGTCTTATTTGACTGGCAAATGTTCCTTCACAATGAGTTTATTCCCTGTCATTTCATGTGCACAATGACTATGTACCTATGTATAAACTATTGGTTTTGAAATCAGTTTGTTGTTTGCCATGTTCTTGTTTTGTTTGTCATGTTTTTGTTTTGTTTGTTTTTTTGTGCGTCCTCACTTTGGTCAGCACAACAGGGGCTTTGATTTGGTTTTCTTTCTTTTTTTTCCTCTGCAAAGCTGTTCAATAAGCTACTGATGATCATCTACTCATGCTGTTTCTGTGTGAAGTGGTGCTGTTGTATGATAGGAGCTTTTTTTTTTTTTTGGTTTTTTTTTGTTGTTGTTGATTGGTTTTGTTTTAATATTTATTGTTTTTTTCCTTGGAATATTTCTTTTGCCATTTGATGTTAATGCCTCGCTCTATTATATTATTTGCAGAAGATGGAGATGACAGTCTTGATGAGGAAGAAGAAACAGATGAGGATAAGAATGAGGAAACTGTTAAAGAAGAGTTGTAGCAAGAATTACATGTATTATCAACCGAGTCAAGAGATGCCTTGATGTTACCTTTCTTTGTAGTAGTAGTAGTATAAGGTTTTACGGCGCTCGCAACTGCTAAGGTACCTTTCTTTAATTTATTTGCATATTTAAAGGATGTGAGTGGGGGGGAAAATAAATAGCTATTGACAGGTGAATTGCATAAAGAATGTGAGTGGGAAAAAAATAAATGGCTTTTGACAGAGATGAATTATATAAAGAATGTGAGTGGGAAAAAATAAATGAAAAATGGCTATTGACAGGGGTGAATTGCGTATTTAAAGGATGAGTGGGGGAAAATAAATGAAAAATGGCTATTGACAGGGATGAATTGCATAAAGAATTATTAAGAATGTGAGTGGGAAAAATAAGTAGCTATTGACTGGTGAATTGTATAAAGGATGTGAGTGGGGGGGGAAATAGACTCCTGAGTACATTGAATGTGTTTGATCCGTTGCTGAAGTGTATTTGAATTGTTGGATTTTGGAGCGGCAAATGGGTTTTCTTTTGCTGGTTTTCTTTTGTTATGTTGCCGTGAGTTGAGCCAGCCAGTCTGAAAGAAAGCGTTTGTTTCTGTTGTTTGTTCTGCGGTGTTTGTGGATCTGTCAAAGGAGGGCTATGAAATGAAAGAAATATGACATGTAATATGTAAGGAGAGTTGGAAGGAAGGAAGAATGTGAAAAAAAAGTAAGCATAAAAGGAAGGTGGTAGACGAGTGTTGCAAGGGGCAGTGCTATTAATATTATTATAGTTATGTTTTTGTTTTGATGATCATGTATAAAAGAATACATGTGTATGATACACTGTGTTCTTGTATTTCACTGTACTTGTGTTTCAAAGTATTGATGGCGAGCATGTTTCCCATCCCCTCGGGCTTGGTACCACAGTGGAACTCGGATTCAACGAGGTCGTCGGGCCTGACCTAAAATCTCGTTGAATCCGAGTGTTCATTATAGCAAACACGAGGTTTTGAGTAGATAATTACAGGCACTGAGCAAGTAATGTACAAGAGAAGTCACAAGTAGTGCCTGAAATGCCTGCATATTAAGAGTTGTGTAAAAAAAAAAGACCGATTCGTTCAAATACACACGCCTGTGTCATCTCGATAGTTTATCAAAAAAGTTGTGTTGCTGTGTAGAGCCTAGCATACGGCAACTTTTGATTCCATAGACCAGGGCACAATTCAGTCCGTAGACCTACGTCAAGACTAGCTTACTATTGTAATGATGATCTGTTGCCGAGGGGGAAAAAAGACTGTGACGCGTTTGTATATGCGACGTTCAACGCCCAACCGCTAGTGCCCCCCCCCCCCCCCCTCCCTGACACACACACACAGCCACACGTGTGCAGGCCGCCCATCCGACCCCCTACACACGCCAGAGTAGACACGTGCGCGTGCCAAGCCAACAACACATGTGTTGGTTGTACGTGTATAAGAACGTATAGGTCGCATGCAATCGGCTAAGTGAATAATGGTTCACGATGCAGGTGCAATGGGTATTTTCCGGGAATAGATAAAGTTCGTTCTGGGAGAAAAATTAGCGAAGCCACATCTGCGGGGGCTGTTCACCCTGGAAGCGACCTCGTTGCATCCGAGCTCGCTGATTTAAGTGCTCGTTGAATCCGGGTTACTTTTATGATTTTAAAGAGAAAAAAACGGGGAATCTATCTCATCTCGTTGAATCCGTGTTCTCGTTGAATCCGAGCTCATTAAATCCGAGTTCCACTGTAATTGGTAGGTCATAGGTCATAGTAACATACTGTAGGTTTTGTTTGTGCTCCATTTTTTCATATTCTTGCGTCCCAAAGGACACACAATCTGGGTTTTTCTATCTCTCTCATTTTTAGGATGCGTCATTTTTGGACGTTTCAGTCTGCTCTTTACCTCTGTGAAATATTAAGGGGATCCACTGGTCAGATCAGTAAAAATTTTGAAAAAATATCAGTTTTCGGATTTTGGTGTATCTTAATAGATATCAATATCAAGGACTCATCTTTAGAAGCCTAATTCCTCTATCAAACTTATAAATAGCTGGAAAATGCATTTAAGAGAGGCAGCAATGTAGGAAAATCTTCACCAAAAATTATCTCTCTTTGCAGTTTTCTCAGAATTGTTTATCTGACCAGGTAGCAACACTATATTGAGTAGATCTCAGAAAGTTACTGTCAGAATTGTTTCAAATTTGGACACAATCTTTTATACACATTACTCTATAACTTTACAGGAGCATTTTTGCTGTTTATGGAACACATTTGGAGTTTTAGGCCTGTTTTATTTGACAAAATCTTAAAACATTGGAGACCTGAATGTGGTGCACAGCAAGGACTGTAAGGCTCACAAGTCAGTACAGAACATTCACATTTGGCTCTGTAAGGTTGTTCTACCTACCAACAGTAATCGCCATGCCAAATATTAGGCTTCTATCTTGATGAGTGTTGATGATTGACAAAATATAAAATTGGTTTTAAAAATGCTGAATCAATCCTTTATTTTTGATGGCTCGAGATTATTATGGCAGAAATCTTGAATTTTTTGCTTGGTAACCTTTTTTTGTACTATGTCACCGCCTTTGATGCAGAAAAGCAAGCGTTAGACCAAAAACTATAGCATTTGGGTGTTGACCATAGCTACACCCCCTTAAAACCTTGTCGCCAGTTCAAAGAAAGAGTTATTAACTGTCACTACACTCACAACATTGTTATTCATGAAAACTAAAGTGTTTCAGTTTCAAAGTTTGCTTCTTTCTTTTTTTTTTTCCAACATGCATTTTCGCTTACTTGTATTCCACAGCAATCTTAAAATCTGGGTCAGTAGTTTGATGGATTTTTTTTAGAACCCACTTAATCCAGTGTTTGATACTAAATGACTAAAATGTTATGTTTCTGTTCGTCTTACTTGGAGTTTGGAGATTGTTGAAAATGGTGGAGCATATGATAGAAGCTATTGCGATGCATGAATCATTTCTTTCTCCACTTCAAAGCTCTCTTTACCTCATTGTCTTGGTTTACAACTTGAAAGGTGTGTGCAAGTCTTGATTTTATCCATGCTCATGACTTAATAAAGTGTTCATCACTGACTTTGTGTTGCTTTGACTGACTCATTTATAAATGTTTGATGCCCCCCATCGACACTATTTTCACAAAGGGGGAACATTAGCATGTTCTTATGCACCATAGAATTATAAATGGGCTGATTCATCAATGTCATGCTCATAACTGTGCTTGAACTGCAACAGGGAACTGCTGCTTTTTCTTTCCCAATCCTTACTATCGCCATTTTTTCCTCTACATGTACTTCTTTTGTATGTTTGTCACACTCTCGTGACCTGCTATTTCCGGGGTGCCTTGGTAGTCGAAGCCTGAGAGGTGAGCAGAGTAAGCCTGATTCCCTGCAGTTGCGAACACCGTAAAACCTCTACTAAAACAAACAAATCGACACAATTTAGACCAATTTTGAAGCATGTCAAGGGTTACCTGAGCTGTGTGGAATGCGTTATGATCCAAGTATAAAAATGGAGGTAGCCTACTTAATGGAATATTTTCTTCCCAATGGAATTTGCTTTGCATTTTTTGCTTGCAAGGCATAGATCCTAAAATTGTTACAAAACATTGATGCTACTACTATTATAAGCTTTATATCTCATTAGAACAACTGACTTATACAAGGTTGGAACTTAAGCTGCTTATAAGTGGGGCAGTGTCTTAAAAGTTAAATTTGAAAAAGAATGTGCCTGACTTACTTAGTCTCTTTTTTTACTTCATCAGTGGCATGGGGACACTTTTTAGTTTTAGTAAGGTTTTTATGGCGCTCGCAACTGTAAGGTCATGTGAGTGCCAAGGGGTGGATGTTGTAAGCAGAGAAGTCCAAACGGGGAATCAGGCTTACTCTGCTCACCTCTCTAGCCTCAACAGCACAAAGTCTGCTTCGACTATCAAGGCACCCCGGAAGTAGCAGTTCACAAGAGAGTGACAAACATACAAAAGAAGTAGAGAAAAATGTCTATACTCGTAGTAAGGATGAGGAGAAGAAAAAGCTGAAGTTCCCCCTATGTTGTTCTGGCTCAGTATGAGCCTGACAGTGATAAATCAGCCCATTTAAAATTTTACTGGTTATAAGAACATCCCCCCCTTTGGGAATGGCCTAAAGACAACTCAGTCAGCATGGGGATACTTATTACATGTATAAACGGAACCAATAACGATCAAGGATTTTGTTGTAAATTAAAGCTGTGCAAGACCATGGGTGGGTAAGCAGATGAGGAGCCAAGGAGTAGCAGTAGAAGTAGAAAGGGTGCAGAAAGAGTCCAGAGCCCAGATGAGGGGGCAAAAGAGGTGAGGGGGTGGGGGCAGAAAGTGGAGACGGAAGCAGATGACAGAACATTGTAATTGTATGAATTGTTAGAGAGCAGGAAATGAGGTGAAAAGAGAACATTTTAGAGAAGAAAATTTTCCGTTGCCGTCAGGTTTCTTCTAACCTGGGACCTACTACTGAATGAGAGGCGAACACCGTAACCTCTCGACCACAAAAGCCCCTGTGTGCAGGCTTTGCTGAGGGTGAGAGGTCAAAAGAGAAATAAACGGTAAAAAAACAACCCTGAATACTTCACATTTCACAATGTAGGCCCATCACAAATCATGAATTTGAACACGGGCAAGCTTTATTATTTTCTCAGTTTTGTTTTTATTCCAAAATAAAAGACACATAACATGAATGATAAAATGAACAACTAACATAACAAACCACCCCAAATTCCTTTATTTAAATACCCCTACACTCCTTAATGCCTCTACACAGTGCATTACTTTACACAGAAATTTTAAAAACCTATTTCTCCATGGCATTTTAAAAGTAAGAAATAAGACATAAAAAATCCAATTAAATCTTTATGATCATTTCACAACATAACAAGACAATTGGACCAGTTTCACCTTATTGGAAAACAACATCACAAAAGTAACACGAAACTGAAATAAATTAATACAAGCCTCCTAGTTTTAAAAACTGAAAGCATCCCAGTACAGCAAATCGCCCTGAGCCTAGCCATGACTATTTATAAGACATTAAATAATACTATCCTCTGTACATAAAGATGATAATGATTTCTGCTGCCTTTTCTTAAACTCTTTGTGAGCCAAATGTGATATCAAACCCCCTACACTCCCCCGGCCACCCAAGCACCTATAGGGAATCAATGAAAACAGTTAAAAGTAGAACCAAACATACTTTTGAACTTCAAATGCTCCAAATATTTTAGAGGGAAAAAAAACCCCCCCAAAAACCCAACAACCCAAAACCCTCAGAAATATCAACAAACAGACAAGCGGGCTTTGCACAAATCAGCGTCAACAATGTTCAACACACTCAATCCTCTCCACAAACAAAACATTGCTTCCAGAGACTTCCGACCCTACCAAGTTACACGAGCAGCCCCCACTCACTACACCTGTACGGTTGGCTCAACACGTTTTAAATTTATCTAGTAGTAGTAGTTGTTGTAGGTACAAAAACAGGGCCCTGGGCAGAACGTTGGACTAGTCAAATGGATGCCCACAACGTGGAAAATAATCTGCATTGACCTCACTCACATACATGACAAAAGTTCCCACAACAAACAAGTCCAGAACAAACTTTATGTGCCGATGCGATGACCAGTGGCCTGAGCAAGACGGGAGGTCTGATCAGACAAACCTACCACCAGGTATCCCAGAGATTAAGTGATAGAACAGTTCAAAGCTTGATGGGTCCCACAGCCACCACTGAGACTACAATGACCATTTCCTAATTTTCTGCGCAAAATTTAGTAGTGTAGAGTGTCATTTCCCTACATATGTCAAATTTGACTGAGACCTTGGAACAAAAACACAATCGACCAAAAGAGGACAAAACGTACTCTATGGCATATTGACATCAACTCACGTAATCTCACAAGAATACCTCTAGGCTTACACACATCTTGTGAAATTAGGACATCAAATATGTACGTGTCATAAGCCAGGCCAAGAAAAAAAAAAAACCCAGCAATGCCCATAGCGGTGGTGTGGGGTCAGTGACATAACTTTATGGAACACTCTTTCTCTATTTCTACCTTCAACATATTTTCAACTAGTCGCTCGCTCGGTTCATCCGCGACTCACTGGCAAACCAATCCAATTGTAAATGACACCAATAGTCTCTCAATGGGTACGTAAGTCAAACACTAATGACAAGAACAATGTCATTCAGTCAACCACTGCACAAGGACTAAGAATCAAGAATAAATCCACATAAATGCATGTATACACCGTGTTGAACCTTCTGCGCTTCCTTCAGACCACATAGCCACTTCATTCGTCGGCTTTATAGAGTTTACTTCCCAAGACCATAATCTGCACTCACTCCACCAGCCCAACACTCCAAATTCCAATAAATTAACTTTTTTTTTTTTACATTCCAACCTTCTTGTCACACATTTGTTACAAAATCTCACCTATTAAGACATCTCAAACTGTTTGACTACTCAATTTGCAGGTACAAGATAGACAGTAATGCACTTGCAAACCAACATGATGTACAGCATTTTTCTCGATGGTAGGACTGAAAGTTACATTGGAGGCCACCCATAAATCTCATCCCTCTCCTATACCCTCATTTTGTTCTATCTTATTTTGCCTGTTGCCTAGTAGGTAAACTTTTCCCAGGCATCCCCTTGCTGTCATGAACCATAAATGACTTCAGACATCTAACACAGTAGTTCACTTTCACTGTCATATAAATCATACATGATGACATCCATCTAATTCAGTCATTAGTTCACAATCAGTCAGTCTGTCAGTCACAGAAACCCCACCGCCAAACTCTTTCCTCTACTACTATGTAAAATGAAAACCATCATCACAATTCAAACATGAGCAAACAACCACATGTGAAGCTCAAGTCCTACACCAGTTGCACACAGCAAGTTTTATTTGTTTGTTTTTTTGTAATTAAGAACACGTTGCCTCAGAACTTTTTCTATTTTGTCCAAAGTGTACTTAACACATTACACCCTAACTCGCCCGCGAATTCCCTTACACGCTCCACCCTGACTCGTCCGGAACCGCCCGCGCCGACCTAGCGTCTTTCGAAACGAAGTCTCGCCTTGACGAGACTGGGGCCGAGATTTTGATTTGCATAGTTATAGCAAAAAGTTTCTTCTTTCGTTTGGCACCGAAACGATATTTTTCGGGCCAGTAGTTTTAGTATTAGAGCTGATCGAAGTGCGTTCGCGTTACCGACACTTCGAAAAAGTCTTGACTTGCTGGAAGGCAACACAATTGAGTACGAAAACGGAAATAACGATGGATTTGAGCAAAAACAAGCATATGACAAATAAGATGGCTCAGATTTTGATGAAAACGTTGTTGCAAGAGTTTGGGGCGATTCCGATTGATCAGACGGAGAAAATCTAGAATTTTTATCTAGGGCCCAACCGCGAGGCTGAGAGTGAGAGTGACGGGTCGGACACCCCGATTGAACTAAAGTTAGAACATTTCCAACAGTTTGCGCATACGTAAAGTTCTATTTTTCTAAAACTACATTCAATTTTCTTTTAAACTTTTATTTTTTCAGGATATTTGGAATTTGTTTAGTATTTTTAAAATGTGTTTTTTAAACGCTTGTATTCACGGGAGGTGGGTTCCTTCCCCTTGCTTAGGATCTAACAATGGACTTCCCGTCCAGGCCCTTAGGGTGTAATGTGTTTTCACTCTGGACAAAATACTTCTGAGGCGACGAACTGCTGAGCCAATTTTCATAGACCTGCCCAATGTAACCATGAGTATGAAAAACGTGAACTGTAGTACTTCTTTCCCTCCTCGCGCTGCAAAAACATTACCGTACATGGATGGAGTGGGCGGGGGGGAGCAGTCACATTGAAAGACAAAGTACTGGAAATATTACGATAAGTGTGTGCCCGTGCCGAAAACTGCATCATTTTCACATCTTTACTGCTCAAGTACATAGGAATGCCATTTTCCTCAATCTAATTAAACCTCAACTACTCTGCTTTTCTTTCCCTTAATAACACTGTCATTACTTTCTATACCACACACAGAGGGAACACAAAATAGGTCTTTGCTGTTACAGCACGGGAAATTAAAAAACAAGTTCTTGTTACAATATTCATGTGACACAAGACAAAGAACAATATCACATACGGCCATTATTTCAAAGAAGAAAACATCATAACAAGCTTCTCGATTGATATACATGTGTCGCGGGGAACTGAGTTCATTTTGTACAGCGATACAACCTAGCTATGTAACAGCAAGACCAGATTTGAGGCCCAACTAGCTGGGGAAAAATGTACTATTTTTAATTAAACAGTAGAAGCGTTAGTTTTACAACTTCCTTTTCACGTACCCATAACCATTTTCAATACAAAGAAAGTACTGCTCTACAAAGTAAAGAAAAAAAAAGTTTTCATTAACAATTGCGCAAATCTGTCCAAATATGAAATACTGCAGTGGATGGGGTGGGGTTCAGTACTTGTCACTGACAATTTTTTCACCAAAATGCCCAGGTCTTATCACTGAAAAGTACATGCAACCAAGATCTCATCTCTTTGTCTGGACCGTCGAAGGGAAGGAAATCTGCTTCAAGGTAAAGCTTATCAGTAGCACGGGTCTCTTGGCACTCTAGCAGACTGACCTCATCCAACGACAGAGCCCTAGGCTACTACACTGGAACTTGGATATTTGTGGGACATCACCTATGCCCTGCACATTCAGTTGCGAGTCCTTCAGGCACACCCGGAAGCTTCCTTTCTCAGGCCCACCGGAACAGAGCAGCGAGGGTGGAAGTATGACTGTCGCAAATTTTTTTTAATCTGGATGTCAACACACTGTTTACAATAATGGTCCCAGTAGTGCATTGCTATTGGAGCTTAAGTTAAACCACCTGTCACACAGGGATAGGTCTTACACTTGGTCCATGGGCTCGTGGCCCGGGTCTTCTGAGTCCATCTGCGAGACATCCTCGCTGCTCTCCGACGCCTTCTCGACAGCTGCCGACTCATCCTCGGGTTCCTTGTCCTCCCCTACAGACTTGTTGAGGCTGTCGCCACACACTTCAAACCCGAGACTGTCCGACGACGATCTTTGTGACGGCGGAGATAACGAATGTTCCTCTCCCTCCTCAGCTTTGCAGTCCCCGCCTCCCAGCTCTGAGCTCACAGTGGAAAGTTCCCCATCGACCGCATCAGAGCCTGTTGAGTCCGAGCCCACCTCTACGTTCTCCGATGTTGTGTCCGCCGTGGAATCCACGTGCCCGGAATCTTCAGGCTCTGAAACCATGACTACTGTGACTTTGTCAGAAACTGCTGCCTCCATCGTTTCATCCTCCGTCGTCTGTTGTGGCAGGCAAGACTGGCTGCTGGAGTCTGAGGCAGAGTCTGAGCTGTCCGTCTGCTTGTCGCACTCTGCCTCGGACTCTATATGTTCTGACATCTCCATCTTTGGCGGCGAGGCTGGGTCACCCGACTGGGTAGGGAGTCCGCTGTCAGAAACATTCGTGGGATGGCTGGGGGGGACCGAGGATGATGACGACGATGACGATGAGGGTTGGGAAAATGCTGGCTGTGACGATAATGAGGACACCGAAGATGGTTCCACGGAGCCAACAAGTCTCTCCAGGCCAGCAACACTGTCGCACTCCATGCTGCTCTGGGCACTACTGCTACTGCTGCTGCTACTGTAGGCAGTCAATGGGGTGTCAGTGGATGAGGCTACTGCTTCAGTTGAGCACACAGTTTCACACACACTCGGATCAGACTTTGGTGGACTGCTACATACCTGCCCCTCGTCAGAGGCTGGGGCTGAAGACACCAAGGACTCAGGTCCCGACGTGTTCTTACTTTCAGACAATGATGAAGATGATGACGATGAAGATGATGAAGTACTTAATGTAGCTTCCGACTCGTTGGCATTATCAGAGCCGACGCTTTCTTCCACCGCATCGGGTGTCTCGCCTGTTGTGGAGTCTGTCACAGTCTCCTCCTCAGCCACCGTGGAGGAAGAAGTCGTGACTGTGTCGAAGCCAAAACTGTCCTCTGAAGAGGCTTGTGTAGGAACATTGGTGCTGCACGTGCAGGTGGACCCTGAAGCCTCGGGCGGGTCGGCAACGTCGGGGCTGGTGCTGATCGACTGCCAGGACAGTGCTGCGCCCGCTGCTGCTGGCTGGCCCTGGCTAGAGTCCTGCTTCACAGAGGATGGGGAGGAGACCTCATCTAGTTTTGACGATGGTGGTGAAGACTGAGGTGGCGATGTGGAGGAGGAAGAGTCTGAATTCTCCTGTGACTCACGGGTGTCAGAAGCATCTGGACTTGTGGCAGTGCGACTCTTCTTTGAAGGACTTTCGCCCTCTGTGAGTTTTTCGTTCTCTCCCTCGTCAGCGATGGCCGCCCATGGTCGACTCTGTGGTGGTGACTCAGTAGAGGAGCTCACCTTTGGACTGAGGGCTGGAGCACCATTTTCACCTTTAAAAAAAAGGAATAGGAAGAAAATTAAGGGGTAGTTCATTTTGGTATGTTGCAGATGTTTTTCTTTATAAATCACAGCCTATTACCTCAGTTCAAACCTTGACATTTTTGTTCTTTACATCAAATGCAAACAATGTCTTGCTAAAAAAAGAAGTCTGCTCTCTGAAGTGATGATGAGATAATCATCAACACCTACAAAATTATATAATCTAAAGTCAAACCTGCCTTAACGGAAACCTGTGTAAAACGGGAACCTGTCTTAAACGGAATCTCCCTGCTCCCCCCTTGATATATTCCTCTTTAATTACCAGTATTAAACGAAAACCTGTCCAACGCGGAAATGGAAAGAAAAATCCTCTCCCTTCCGAAGGTTTTATGCCTGCTCAGCACTGATGGGTGGGGCTAAGGGAGGAAGCAAAGGAGATGTTCAAACGTTTCTGTTTTTATTGGGTCGAACAGTGGTCATAAGAAATGCAAGCACTGGTGGCAATTGGTTAAATGAGACTGACGCATGTCATAATCAGAGAAGATAGCAGCTGAAAGGGGTGAAGTTTTGACTGCTTGCCGACCGGACAGGCGATCCTTGATCCCACCGGCTGGGCCTTTGAACCACCCATCTCCACACTAAATTCCCCTGTCTAAGACGGAAAATTTCTAAGACGGAATTTTTTTGGCTCCCTTGCGATTCCGTCTTACACAGGTTCGACTGTAATTCCAAATCTAAAACAATTTTATAAAACACTTCAATTTTGATACAAACATTTTTACTTTAACAGCACCATCAGTGAAATGCCTGAAAGAAATATGTACCTGAGTAGCACTTGGTCCAGCTCTCTGACATTAACTGTCTTAAAGTGAAATCACATTGTCGCTTTCACAAAGCCTCATTTTCAATTGACAAGAACTTAAAATGTTTCAGATGTGCTATGTTGAGACAACTCCATCTGAACAGCTCATACAGTGAAATAGGAGCTGCCGGCCTTCAACATTTGTTTTTATAACAATCCAGAAAGTGAAGCCCTGAGCACATGCTGTACAAGCATTTTTTTGTATGTGGTCCTCCAGGGGAAAAAAATTTTGATTTCCTTCAGTTATCAAGGGATGGAACAATGTTCAACAGGCTCATAAAGGACAGCCGTTACATGTCCGTAAACACCAGCCCCAAAACACACCAGGTACTAGTTGAAAATAAATGGGACATTCGAAACCGAGGATTTGTGGTCATGGCAGTAAGGTACCCATTTTATCGATTTTTCCTGAAACACTTTGGGCGCGGCAGCGAGTCAATTAAAGACTTTTTTTTTTTAAAGTAGAGGGTTTTACGGTGCCCGCAACTGCATAAGGTCATATGAGCGCCAGAAGACAGAGGTGTTACAAGAGAGTAACAAACATAAAAAAGAAGGGGAGATAAGGACGATAGATGTTTGATAGGAAAGAAGAAGCAAACCACACCAGAGCACCCGCCAACCACCCACATTGAAGACTTAGAAGAATATCTGCCAGATTCCCACCAAAAGAAAACAACAGCATAGCAATGTGAAAAACGAATCCCTGTCCTCAAAAGAAAACACTTACTTGTTTCTGTTGCTGATAATTCCTCAGAAGAAGATGAAGAAGATGACGACGATGATGATGCGTTGGTGTCTTCCCCTCCCATTTCTTCATCCTCCTCTTCTTCCTCTGCCAAGCTTTCTCCCGCGTCTGTGGCAACATTAGCTACCTCATTGGTGTCCATGGTGACCTAATGGTTGGAAAAAACAAAAAACAAAACATAGTACCCTCACTGGTACAGTGACCCCTAACTCGAGAGACAGAAAAAAGCAGGATGTTAGCTGAAAAAAATTATTCAAGAATCTAACTGACCAATCCTGCTGGTCCGTGTATGCCCTAATTATTCAATTTCTCGTCTCAAGAAACTTTTTGCATTGTCGAAATTGGTTAAGACGCCACCCATTGACCAAGAGAAAAGTGTCCTTTCTGAGGCCCCAAACGGAAGTGCTTAAAAGCTTAAAACTACTGCAAGGCCAATTATTTTTTTTTTTTCTTCTTATGGCAGACAGTATTCTTAGTGACAGCATTTTGAGTGCTTTTTTTATACTGTGCTTATCGGACCCATGATTATTCCACATCAACTCTCCTGGTTGAACTAGATAGGTGAAAAATATCACACTTACTACTGTTTCTTCAACAACTTCCTCTGCATGTACTGATAGCGGCTGCTCCCCCTGGTCAGCATAGAGAGAACTGACCAGGCCACCAGAAACGCCATTGGATGTGATTCCTGCCTCCGGCAAAGAAACCTGTAGAAATATAGCATAATAATCTAATCAATCCTTTTAATGACAACATTAAACTCACCACAGACAGTGAAAAACTACCCACAACCCCTTGTTCAATTATTCTTAACCATAAATGATGGAACACTGCCCATCACCATATGTGCTACAATTAGTGAATTTCAGATTATACAGTGGCCCCATTCAGAGAATTGAAGATGACAGTATTAAATATGCACATTCCGGCATACTAAATGAAACAAACTATAAGTCTATAATAAGCCTTTGGGAAGAAAAAAAAATCACATCAAAGAGAGCCAAAACCATACGTCAAAACTGTATACATACCACATAAAAAAGTGAACAGGACTGATTTTATTTTGACATTTTCACTCATTCAGCCATCACAATGCCATTTGTGAGCATTAGTTTAGAATACTAATTAATGCTTTTGAACAAAGAAGCAGAAAAATTAGTCAAATAAATGATCGATAACAGCACACTATGTTTACCTGTGAAGTTGGCCGTGGGTGATCTGAAGAGTCCTGGGAGGGGCTATTTTGAGAGCGTGATGCCATGGCAACCGTTGATGTGACCCATCCTGGAACTGGGGGCAAAGGGGTACTAGTGTGGGGATCCCTTGTGGAGAATGGAGAGCCATTGATATCCATGCCATTGACAAGGGGTTTATTGGATGACTCTGAAACAACTTTCCTACAAAAAAGGAAGAAAAAAACAAGAATGTTTTCAGCAATAAAGGAAACAACTTCATCAACAAAACTGCTTCAACACCCCCATGTCTTAGTTTGCACCGTTCACAAACACAATGGCAATCAAAAGAAGGCAGAAAAAATCCACTCCACCGTTTTCCTATACACACAACTTTGCATGCATCACTTCCTGTCAGAAAATATATTGTTTACAGTTAAAAAATTTAATAATAACTAGTAACATTGAATAAACAAAAGCGTACTTACACCACGTTATATAATCACATACTTGTCACCCTCATGACAAACCCAAAGAAAAAGCCAAGACTTGAGAAACTTGTTCAGCAAAATTTAAAAACCTAAATTGCGTTCATTTCAGCGACAAAATATTCCAGGAAAGGAAAGGTGGTAAATAGAACACAAACAGACACAAATGTGGTCATTTTTATTTTCTTCATCAAGGATGATTTGCAGTAGACCTAAAAAGATCAAAAGTAACAACACTCAGCACAAACTAATCTTAAATCTAAAATAATAGAGCAATGATATTAGTCTTATTTGAAAAAGTGACATGAGAGTTCAACATGTACAATTTCTGTAACACATATTTAATATCACTCAGTGATCTCTAGAAGTTTAAGTTTCCATACAATTGCAACGCCCGCTTCAAGAACATGAAAATCTTTGCAATACTCAAAATGCAGATGAAAACCTTTTCCTATGCCCGTTCACCTGCAATAACCCCTGTTACATTTTTACAGGACGAAATGGCTACTGAGACGACAGTAGCTTAAACTAATCTCTTTGAAATGAGAAATTACAATTGATACCACTATATAGTGCCACTGTTTGTCTCCAAGACTGAAAAAAACAACAACAAAAATGTGCATGCTGGAAAGGAATCATCCCAGGATACCTCAATGTCATAGAGCAATTATTTGAAATGTGTTGGTAGTCTGGATGCCGTCATCCTCAATTTAGTTTGTAAAAAAAGGATTCTTTAAGCTTTTAAAGAATCTAGAAGTCTAGCAAAGAAGGAGAAGCAGCAACAAAGTTCATCACTCAACAATAAGTAGAATCTCAAGCAAGAAAAAAAAACAACCTACCTTCCAAAAGGGTCAACAGTACTGACAACCAGAACATTCTGAGAAATAAAAGGCATTACAAAATTTGAAAAATTTCTACGTACCACAGTAAATAAACAATGCAGAATTGTAAGAACTCAAACTTCTTGCTGTGAAGCTTTGTGATCGGATTAAAAAATGAAACCATAGTTGATGCACACTAAAAATACAAAACCTTACAAATCCCAAAAATGAAACTGGGGTTCTGTTAAATTAACTGGAAATTTACAAAGCTGCACACAAGCAAAAAAGTTGCAAGACACTGCTGATACAGTAGTCTCCGTCTAAGATCCCGCCGCTTACGATCCCGGTTCGCTTAAGATCCCGTTGTTTTAGGAAAACAGAATTTTTACTATACAAAAGTCACCCCTAAGATCCCGCTCTGATGGTCTACATTCGGCTAAGATCCCGCATTTCAGATCATAATTTGCTAAACAAAACCCCGGGCGGGCACAGCCGATCAACCTAGAGTGAAAAGTTGAGATCCATAAACTGTCCGTCGCGTCAAAGATCAACCACTATCGTGAAAGTGATTACATACACGTTGTAAAACTCGATGAAGCGATACAATGTTTGCCCCAGACGGGATCACACCGGGGTGTGAACTGACCGACACGTTTGTTTTCCCCACGCATTGCACTCACACCTGAGCTCGCCACCTAAACTTACATCACTCGCTGGGTGGGTAGGGCCTACACGTTCGCTCCAGGCAGGATCACATCGAACTGTGAACTCTTCCTTGACCATTGCAGCAGTTGTCTCTACTCCCGAATTTTCGAGACAGACTGAATTTTAATTGGTGGGTTCACAACGTAATGGTGTGTAACGACAAAGGTGGTTTGGAAGGGGGGACTCGGTCAGAGATGGAAAGCTATACATTTTTGACAGGTAAAGAGGAATTAAAATTTTTGTCTCAGCTGGATAAGCGTAGATCTTGAGACTCATAATAGGATAATAAGTGAAAATGGCATGCCTCGTGCCACTATGCACCGTGATAGGTCATCAAGGTTAACCACTCTTTGCTCGCCATACGTCATAAACCCACCAAGCGGTCACGTCAGTTCATTGTAGAGTGGACGGAGACCATTTTACCGATTGTGAGCCTTAACATGGGTCACCATAGATTCTTCCCTGGGTTCATCGGTTAAGATCCCAGTTCGCCTAAGATCCCGCATTTCCTTGCTCCCATGCACCGGGATCTTAGGCGGAGACTACTGTATAAGGCTAAACAGAAAACAAATGCTGAGACTCTAAATAACTGTTTTGCAAAACAATTTCAGAGAAAATAACACACATAACAGACACAAAAAAAAGGAAAAAAAAGGCATCCCTGAAATTCATACCTCTAAAGGTTTTGATTTACACCTAAATTAAAATTAATGTCTGTTGAGCATTTTCAGTCCCAAGCTCAAGAATCTCAATTCCTACGCTATTAGCTTCAAATTCGAGTAGTTCAACAATCTAATTTCTATGCTATCAGAAAACGGGGAACTTAAAGAAAAAAATACTAAAACAAAACTACCTGTTAGCACACATTATGACATCCACCCACAAACAGCCTCAAATAAGCTGACAGCACAGCATTAAAATACAAAGAGAATGGTGATAAAAATAACATAAAATAGGAAACCTTTTCCAGTCCTCTCATGAATTTGTCACTCCGCTTATAATGTCGCTTTGGGTCAACCAAGAGTTCACACAGACGCTGGATCGTAAAGGGTGCCCTGAATTCAAAAAAAAGAAAAAAAAAAGAGGTTCAAATAAATTCAATATTGCACTACAGCCATAGGTGAGGCAAATTCTTATTCTACAAAAGCAACAACAAAAACCCATAATTATAACACCAAACAGTATATTACATGTATAATTTCAATTAATTTTAAACTGCTATAAGAATTTCACACAAAGTGAAAGACAAAGTCAATGCTTAATGCTAATTTGGCCAGGGTAACAACTCTCATACCCAGGGTTTTACTGCTTTACTTGTGTCAGAATCCAAGCAGGTATCAGAACTTATTAGAAATGAATTAATGTTACGATAAAATTTATCACATTTTCTTTTTCATTGCTCAAGGCACTCCGGGTCTGAAGAAAACAATACCACGAGAGCCTCACATTTTCATCAAGAAAAACAAGCCTCATTACACTGACTCTGACAGTAGAAAAAGAAATCAGTGCCTCTACATTTGGGCAGACTCAAACAGGTTGTAAGAACATACAAAACATTTGACTTTGAAATAATTTTCACCATGAAGAAGACCAAAACAGAAATGTGGTCGAAGAGTTGCTCAACCATGGAAATAATAAGATATAAATAATATACAGTCGAACCTGCCGTGACGGCCACCTGTACAAGTCGCCAATTTCCATTTCCCTCCTAGTGTTTTTTTCCTATTTAATGACAGCAGTGTAAAATGATAACCTATCCAATGCCGCTACCGCCACTATATTTTATCAACCAGCAACCCAAAAAAACTAAGATGGCCATGCAAATCTCTCATGGCCAGACCTTATGTCATAAATTATATATATTTATCGGCCCCTGATACTGATGCTGTAGACCAGCCGTCATAATCTATGCACCTGTCGTTATTGTTTGTCCCTCCAATGAGTGAGCCAATCATGTCGTGGAAGTCCCTCGGCCACTTTTACCCAAGTTGACCAGTCAGAGTCAGTAACAAATTTTCAGCCGCTGGTGAGGAAGGCGTGTGATCCATCCTGATCTATACGCCCTGCCCACAACTTGTACACACACATAAGTGAGATGGGTAGTCGCTCTGTCTACCCAGTCCGTAACAATGGACGTCAACATTCACTTGAAGCAGAAGTGTCGCTCATTTGCCGAGTGGTGGCGACCCATTTGTTTGTTTTATCATGGCACTCGGTCTTCTTTGCCTGACACAGTGACATTTCGTTTTGCTTTACCCTTGCACTGCACATTGTCCTGTGATATGCTTCAAAGAAAAAAAAAAAAAACTAACAAAGGAAAAAAACAACAACAAACAAAAACCAAAGGTTTTCCTATCCCCAACCCCTACAAAAAGAAAAAAAAAATTTTTAATTAGCCTTACGGCAGTCCTAAGCCTGCGACCACCTCCGGTCAGGACCTCAGAAGGGAATGGTTTGTTTTCTTCATTTTGATCAGTCCTGCCTAAGATAGCCACCTGTCTAAGACGGCCACTGTTCTCCTCAAAAATGGGTGGCTGTCTTACACAGGTTCGACTGAATATGATAATTTGTTTCCAACCAATCTGAAGTGAAACACATGGAAGTTTGTAATGCAGCAAAGAACTCTTGTCGGGAAAAACAAAGTTTTTAATTTTTTTAAATCAAATTGAACACCTCTTTTGTCCTCACCATATATCTCAAAATGTAACGGATGTTAATTTAGAGGAAAAAAAATCTGAACTTGGTGTCTGTCTACAGAATGTGCTTGGATTGCAGAAACCAAGTGCGAAGAAACATTTTTATTGCCAAATATCCATCATGAGACACAAGAGACAAGTTGACAATTGAAGTGAAATTTAATCTATAATTAATAAGAAGAACTAATTGATAAGTAAAACAGTTAAATTCAAAGGTAGGAGGCAACAGAAAAACATAAAAGCAGGTTATCTGTACCTCTAAAAAATACAAGTTGTGGGTGAACAAGAACAAAAATAAATCTTACCCATTAAATTTATGCAGGGCATCCATAATTCTTGCGTGCATAACATCAAATCGGACATTTTCCACATTAGGTCTTGGCGGGATACTCTCAGTACTCAAACCTTGACGCAACTCACGGATGACCTGTTCCATTTTACCTACGATCAGGGGTTTCAGTAGAGGCCACTGAAAGCTAGAGAAGGTTGGGGGAAGATGTACAAAAAACATAAAAATTGTTCAATATTTATTACTGTAGACACTGCTGATTATTTAATGTATCTCCTAATAAATGTTTTGCACTTCTCACTTTCAAACAAAACTTAGAACCATTGACAAGAAAAGAGTTGAAAAACTTTACTAAAGAGACAAATGAATACACATTAAATTAAATTAAATGAATGCCAAAGTGTTATTTTCTCAGGGGGGGAAAAATTCCGGTGACAGCTAACGTGCATATAAAAGTAAATTTGCTTCCTTCCAGCGCATGGTTCAAGTCCCTACCCCTAAAATTTTATGTTCACCAAGCCAGTTTTACTTAAAATTCAAGGAAAAAGTAAAGCGCTTCCACTTAGTTTTCGTCTGAATAACTGTTTGAAGAACAAGTATCCCATATTCAGGTTGTACTTTTTTTTCACCCCTGGACTGTTGCACCCACTGGTTGTGAGTTAACAGACAGGTTGTAACATTAATCTCTAGTCTCTTTGTTAATTTCTACATATCACTCCCACAAGCAGAGTCAGTACTTTCAGGGGCCAAGTAAATTTCTTTAACTGTCGAACACACATTTAGGTCCACTAAAACCATCGCCAATAAATGGGTTTTGAAGATTTATCTCAACCCTAATTCTACAAAACATCAAATCTTGGGTAAAAACAGGGGAATGCCCTGCACCCGACCCCCCCCCCCCCCCCCAACCCAATAAAAATTTCTTCTACCCTAAATTAATTTTTAATAAATATTTGTTATGCAATTAGGCTTACTTGTGAATTGAAAAGATTCAAACAAGACATCAAATAATTCAAAAACTAATAATTTAAAAAAGAGATATAAAGTCGAAATTCATGAGAAACGGGTAAAAATTATTTTAAAAGTGCTGAAAAAACTCAGCATGAGACGAGAGTAGAGTGATAATAAAATCTATAGCTAGACCCAACTCATAAAATATAATCATAACATAATGATAACATGATCATTATAAGTAAGGCATATCAATGTGTACTGCCCATGCCCCCTGTTCTCCAGTGGTTGTAATCTTGTTCACAGAATTCCATGACTTTAAACTGGGCCCATGCCTATACTCTGTACAGTGTACTGTACTAATTTTCCAGTGTAATCTGTACTAGATCTAGATCTATAGATCTACTATTGGGTAGGTGCAATTCAACCACGAGTCTGAACCGTTTCAGTAGTCTAGTACTAGATCTAGTCTGGACTAGACTCTAGTAGACAGTGATTGAATGAGACAATATGGTGAATGTTGTCTTTAAGCACTGGCGTAAAAGTTTAAAAGTGAAAATACAAAATCTGTTGAAAAACTCGCGTCATACGAGACTAGTGTCAGAGGTGCTTTTTATATGCTAATAGTCTGATATAATAGACTCTATGGGAACCAGTGAACTCGTCATACGGTGAAGTCGTCACAGCTGAAAAACGTGCGGCGAGTTTACCGGAAAAAAGTATCCAAATGATAAATAACAGTGAACGGTTCTCTTCGGGAGAAGTGGTCCTGACCTAATGCCTTACAAATAAATGTATACGGTACATAAATAAATCTATGTACACAATCGGAAACAAAAACGGAAGTCGAGTAAAAAAAAAAGGGTAGAGTCTAGCGTAAAAAATGGGTTTGAGCCTTTTCTATAAATTTACCGTGGTCTGTCCTCCTTTTCTGAGCTTTTTTTCTCTTCGAATTATTTAATCTGATAGAAGGCCTAACTTTTGCTTCACCCCCTGTCGAAATTGCCCCTTTTCGCCCTGTCGAATTTGCACCAGCTTTTTAGAGTGAAAAGTATGAGGAGACTGAGTTTTCTGGAGCTTTTTGACTAAAAATAGAAACAACTTGAAACAAGTGGAAGCTTAGGAAGCACAGATTTTATTTTTAGAGAATCAAATATGTAACGACACACGGGTAAAATAATACGCAAAAGCCAAGTCTAGGTTGAGGCGGCGTTGAAGTTGCCCCATGGCCGAATTTGCCCCAACCTAGATTCTATGTGACGAGATCAGTGGAGGTATGTGACAACTTCACCGTGAGACCGTGTGACGAGTTCACTGGTATCCGACTCTATAATATAGTTAGTTCAGAACTAATCTAGATCTACATAATAACAATAATGAATAATGGTAGGCTACTTTTAAAATTAAGAACAGATTTTCAAAAACTATTAATTTGCGACGGAAATGAAGTTGATATTCGTGTTCAGCACATCAATATTTAGATCTAGAGATCTGGAGAATCTATCTTGATCTAGATCTAGATCTAGATCTAGATCTAGACTCTAGTAGAAAATGGGCAACTGGCAGAGCAGCTAAAAGTAAAAGTGTGAGACGGGAGGGAAAGTAAAAAAATACCGAAGAACTAAAGTCTAAAGGAAGGACTTCCGTAACGAGCGACCACCCCAACAAACAATAAAGAAGAGGCCTTTATCTAACCCTAATCCTAACCCAAACCCTACTCAACTGGCCATACTATACCCCTTCCCATACTGACTGGCCATACCCCTACCCTTACTCTTACCCCTCCTAGTCCTACCCCTAAATTCTACTCTGTCTCATACTCATAGTGGTCGCTCATTACGGAAGTCCTCCCGAACTAAATCTTAATTATAAAATTAAAATTATAAAACAAAACCACTGTTGTTCAATAAAGTAGACTCTCTCTTCTATTCTATTGACAATATAAATCACTAATCTAATCAACTAATAGTAAAATAGATCTAAATTTATAGATTCTAGCCTAATGATAAGGCGGCCTACTAATCTAAACGTCAATTCAAAGTACCATATATAACTCTCTAACACACTATAGATCTAGATCTAGATTAAATCTAAATAAGGGCAGACTAGATTCTAGATCTAAATCTAGATCTAGATCTAGATCTAGATCTATACTTATTGAATTGACAAACACAATCTGAACGAAAGAACCACTCACAGCGTCTCTCCATTCTTTGCCACACCGTTCAAATACTGGTCCAGGACTGGGGGAACATCCGACTCCGGAGTTCTGGCATATGCTGAAAACAAAGGAACAAAAGAGATTTGAAGCCAACAGAAAACAAAAAAAGAAGTCAATACTGACTCAAAATAATCCTCGGAAAAACAACTTACCAGTCAATGCATCCAAATAATCCTCATGGTTTTCCATCGTAGCAGCTACGACGAAGGTCGAGAACGAATAATGGCGACCAGGAAGTGACGTACGGTTACAAAATGGCGACCTTGTGGATCTCATTAAGTCTTTGTGACAAACCAATGAAGCCCCTTTGAACAACTCAACCCAGACAACTTTGATCAAAAAGGGAAATCAGACCTACATAACATAACACATTGTTACTTTTATGTTAATTACAGAAGAGTATGAATAGCCTTTCAAGTCAAGAAAGCGTTTTCCCAGAAGACGGAGATTCATTCTATAAATAGCCTAGACACAGGTCAAAATTCGGGGCTCGGGATCAAAAGAAAACAAAACTAGATCTTGTGAACATCGATGCCCAGATTGGTCCTCGGATAAATGTTCTTGCGTAAACAAGACCAAGACGTGCATAGTAGTTTGAATATCGCGGGTTAGAAAGCAACAACAACGACAGGGGCATCGTATTTTTTCTTCCTCTTTTTTTTGTAAATATCATCGTATCTACTCCTTTACTTTTCAGCATGCATGTATATAAGGAAACAGAACGATTAATTCAGCTTAGATTTTGCTAGACTCTTGATATTTAATTCCTGGTTTTATACTTACGCGTCGCAAAGCTGTTGGGCACACTGACTACTGACACTTTTTTTTTTTAATTCAACAAAATACATGTATGTACATGTGCTATCACTAGATCTTATACACGAGTAGGGCGTATACTAAGAGTTTGCTGTACTGTTAGTGACCTGTTGTGTAC